CGATTTAATGACGATGATCTAAATTAGAGTCGGCGTTCTTTGTTATTAGGGTTGCGGGTTGGTGTGCCACTTGTATCTGGTGTTTTCTAAATTGTCTTTGTAATTTTATCTTGATATGCCCGTATTTCAATATAATATTTATTTCTCCTCTACCACAATAATATCATAATAACCTACTGAATTTTCTAAAGCTGGATACTAAATTAATACTCTTTATTCTTTGGATATAGTTTGCAAGGAATTGTGAATATTCAGTCAAAAGCTAGTCTTATATAATTCGACAGCAAATTATTACTCATATTCTGTATCTGACCATTTGTCTTCCTAACGGGCTGGTTAGCTAAAGCAAATAAATCACATTTATTGAAATAAAAAACTTGCGAATTAAAAATTGGCTTAATGTAGATCAAAATTAAAATAATTTGGACGTATTTTACATCTGTTTAAACGGCACAGATAAATATGAACCAGATTCACTTAGAAATTTCCCAACTGTTAACTCATTTGTTGAAGATTTTGTTTTTAACAATGCATTCGTTAATGTGATATTCTACGTCACGTTATAGGCTGTGCCGATGACGAATCAAGAGAAGACATGCAGCATCTTTAAAAATAGTTTAGGTGTTTTGGATGAAAATTTCCACAGGTAAATTTTGCTCTTATTAACCCTTTAGACTTCAAAAACAATGCGACATTTTGCAGGAAAGAAAACTGCAACTGGACCTTGAGATCTCTAAAAAGGTCGAAAATTTTACTGATATTTATGGATATCTCGAAACTTCTCTGGCGAAAACCAGTAGGATAGTATTTTAACCAGTCAGCTTTGCAGACGAAACTTTAAGTGTTCTGACGGAAATTCTTGCCACCTCCATCTCAGACAAGCAATCTGATGCAGATGGACAAACTGCTTGTTTTCTCGGGCACCAGAAATCCCTGGGGGAGCTTACAAATCAGATGCAGACGGAAATAGACGCGTTTAGTAATGCCTAAACATATTTTTAACCTCATCTTCCCAGAACTACAGCTGGATCAGTTTTCCGATATTAAGGCGCGGAAGATCGACATGGACGAAAAGATGGCATTGATTAAGAAAGATATTTCAAACGAAAAACTGAACAAGAAGGAGCTCTATGTCCTTGACATAAGATTTATCTTAGAAAAGGAGAGGTATTTAATTTGCGCCAGCAGATACCGTTTGTTCTAATCTTATGTATAGGTATTTTATTAGCATAGTATTCTTGAAATTGCGCCACTTATGTAGAGCTTGCTTAAAAAGGAGTAAACAGTTAAGGGGGAGGTGCAGTTCCTTGCAGGTCAATACGGATTGCATATGCGTTGATGACCGTTCACCGACCGCTAACGGAACTCACTTGTCCCGCTACGGCTTTGCCTTGGACCTCATTTCGCGGGCCCTGACGGTAGCTGTAGCAGCTGGTAGTATAAGCAGATAGTAATGGAGAAAGACGTACGCGAGGCCCCATATCTCAGCAACCAGTTTTGCGGATATGGGTTACCTGAAGGTGTTTATAAACCGATGCTTACGCGGTCAGTGACGAAGGATTTACACAGAAACACCACCGAGGGTATGGCATGCTCTGCTGTGCATCGTTGATCGTCTACGCTTTAGAATTGCCAACTGGCCCAAAGCCACCTTGTGCAGCAGGGTGATAAAAATCAGAGACCGACTAAAGACCAATCTGGAGTAGTGTATCGTATCCCATGCCTAAGCTGTTCTTGTAACTATACAGGTCAAGCCGAACGCATGCTCGAATCATGCATACATGCACATAAGCTGGCTGCATGACAAGGCGACGAATTATCGAAATGCGTTGCCTACAGTTACGATACTGGCCAAACGTCCAACTTAATAGCCTCCAGGACGATAGCCCACGACGAAAACAAGATAAGTCGATAATTTACTGAAGATTGCTCTATAGATGAGAGCTCAATTAATCGATATATGGATTTGGCACCGGATTACAGAACCCTGAGCAGTCACATCTAGACTTGCGTCATTAATCATCGACCGGCTTACACTCCCTTTAATTATATCCTCTTTACTACTGCTTTACCTCGGAAGCTGACTCCTGCATGAGCACGGAAGCTCGAATAACATTTCATTTTAAACTCTCTCTCAAGCCTGTAACAAAGCAGCGTCTGCAAAGTGGGAATTAGTTCTAAGCTGTTAATTGGCTGCCAAGAGCCCACTGCGGAGAGCTAGCTAGGAATTACTCATATTCTCAATTGCAATTTTGTCAGTTTTAATTAGCTACTTTTTTCAATCGCTTCTTTACAAATGACAATGTAGCTGTATGTATATATAATTATGCATTTTAGGGGTTTGATCTAAATGCACGCAGACGAAATACTTCGTTGCTGCTTATCTTTGAGAATTCTATCTTTTACTAACCGACTTTCTCTTTTATATAAATGATAGCTTTATTTAGCACGCCTACTTGTAGTATAATTTGGGTTATAGGTACATACTTCTTATAAAGGAATGCACTCTTACGCCAGATAGTATAATTTTTATGCCTTAGAATGTGCCTACTAATTTGCTTTCATTCGGAGATTTCGGGAAAACTTAGTTTAAGATCTGGAGTGAAAATGGGGGGCGATGTATGCATCGAATTTATCTTATCATTTTCTGTCGGTTAATTTTAACTTATACCAGATTGATCACTCATCTAGGAAAGAACGGTGGAAAAATGATCTAAGATTAACCATATCGACAGAACAGACACTGGCTGAAAAGCAGACACGATCGAGTCTTCTTCTTCTTCTCAGACACGATTTTCGTCGATGTCTTTGCTGCTGGACTCCTGCATGAGTCCCAAAGCTCGACTAATCTTCTATTTCACCCATAGTTAAAACGCTATCTCAAGCCTGTAATCAAGCTGCGTCTCCAAAATGGGAACTAATCCAACGTTGTTAATTTTATGCCAATAGTTCAATGCGGAGAGATAGTTAGGAAATTCGCATATTATCCACTGCGTTTTGGTCAGTTTTAATTAACTGCCATTTTTAACATCGCTTCTTTTGAAATGAAAATATAGCTGTATGTGTATGAAAATATGTATTTTAGGGGTTCTGTCCAAAAGTAAGGGGTACTCGCAGGCGGAATAGTTCGTTGTTACATATAGTTGAGAGGTCCACCTTTAACTAACCCCTTTCACTTTTAAATAAATAATAGCTTTATTTAGCATACCTACTTATAGTATGTTTTTGGTTATACGCACTTGTTATGAATGAATGCACTCTAACGCCAGATATTAAAATTTTTATGCCTCAGAATATGCCTATTAATTTGCTTTCATTCGGAGACTTCGAGAAAGCTGAGATGAACATCTGATTGAGAGCGAGATGTAGTATATGTAATGGAATTATTCTATCCTTTTCTGTGTCGTGGGTGAACGGTTTATTCTAATTCATACCCTATTACTCAATCATCAAAAAAAGACGGTACAAAAATGTTCCGGGATTAACTATATCGGCAGGCCAGATACTGGTTGAAAACAGACAACATTCTCGGCGATTTTTTGCCACTGCACGAGGCCGCAACTAGGGGTTCGGCTCATTAATGGGCCTTCTAGCGTTCTCCATGCGTTTTCTGATGGATATTCTAGTTTTTATTTTTCAGATTTTCAATTTACTCGGAAATTAATACACTGAATTGGAGTGCATTATGGAAATGAGGATTTATAAGTTCAGTTCGACAATTGATGTGAGCATTTAAATAGAAATTCACGAGCGTTTGTGGGCCATCCGCGTAGTCGGCATTAAAAAACGTTGCATGCTTCGTAATATTGAGAGTGCAGGGATTACTTAAATCTTGAAACGCGTGTCGGCCTCATAACCAATTTTACAATTAAAGGCTGAATGATCCGTCAAAACCGGATTGGTATGTGAGCAGACGCCTTCTTGCGTGAAAACATAAGTATGTAACGTCATCAAAAGTTCAATTAACGCTCCCGGTCCATTCATGCCTTTCATGAAGTGTTAATTCTATACAGGAGCAAGTTATCCTGCCATCCAGGAGGTGTGCTACTTCATTAATTTCAACCAAAATTCTCGGTTAACGCGTTTAATCCGTTCCAGCATCAAGCTCCTCATATAAAACGCTTGTCTTACAAATCGTAGCCAATCAAACTGTGCCAGTCAACTGATTGGCTGCAGGCGATCGAGACCCCACGGCCTGGGAGTAAGATTCAACGGGGGACACAGACACGCACTCACGTACTGACGGCTCGTTAACT